AACCACTACACCTAGCATAAAAAAGGACTCCTTTCCTTTTCAAATTCATTGTTGAATAAATTTCAAGGTTTCTGATCGTCGAATAATTCGTTTCCGTACGGGAAAGGGGTTCAATGGCTATCCATAATGTGATTCTGAATATGAAAAAAAAATATTTTGTAGTCAGTAAGAGGAAGGTGAATGAAATGTCATAAAATACGGGAGGGTTGTGATCGTCCAAATGGAACCGACTAGAGAACATTAAAAAATTTCATAATTCACTTTTTGAAATGATTTTTCATTCAGGATATGCACTGAGCATTTTTTTTGAAAAATCATTTGATGTGATCGCTCGCATAATGAGGCATGGAAGGACGGAATGAAAACAGTCTGATGGATATTAGTTCCTAACATAACATTGCATCCTTAGTATTTGTAATTTTTTTGGTTGTTTGCCGCTTCCTGCTGCATGGTCAAAAGTAAAAAAATGCATTTCAAAGAGGAACTTCTCCTCCTTCACAAACAATTTTTCATGTTTCCTTTATGTTCTTGGTGGCTTGACGCGAGTCCTTTACTCTTTTCAACAATCTTTGCATTGTAAACCAAATATTTGTGGTTGATGCTGTTTGCATATTTATGAGGGTTTGGGAATTTTGAGGTTTAATAGTTGCACTAAGCGCATAAACATTTGAATTTGGTCAAACTAAAATGTGCTGATTATGCTGAATAAATTTCTGAATTAGCTGAATAAAGCGCTGAACTTGCTGAATAAAGCGCTGAATTAGCTGAATTAAGTTCAAACTAAACTGACTCAAAAGTACTGTTTCAAGACATACCAAACCATAACTAAACTCATTATTCAACTCCAAAATTCAAGCTATAAAGAACAATATTTCACCGATGCATGCGATTCAACAACAAAACAAATAAATGGCCTGTGCATAGTCATACTGTTCCTTTCTGTTTGCATCTCGAAAAAACAAAATATTCAACAATCTTCTTCCATTTCTTCTTTTTGCATCTCAACATATTTTTGTATTCTTCCTCAAAAATTCCATTTTAAGACATCAAGTTGAAGACAGGAAATTTCTTCGTATGAAAAAGAATTCTCCTTCCTGTGCTATTGAACTAAATATTTTTTCTGATGCTCTTCAAACATAAATTTGATAATGCCGATTTTATTTCCACCGTGAAATGAATTAAATTTCTCATTCCGGAACAAAAAGATCGTGAAAATAAAGAAAAAATTGATGAGTGAAGACGTGCGCTTGATGTGAGGATCAGGTAGCTTGTTTAATTATTGTCATATAAAATAAATTCAATTTTTAAATCTTTAAGCACACTTGAGTTGTCTCCATCCACACGAACGCTAATGTATGGGCATGTAAAATATCATCTTAAATCACAAATAATGCACATGTTAATGTGAGACACACGAGACATTAGAGATTGCATAATAAGGAGTCAGACGACCATCAAGAAAGGGAATTGCATGTCATATGTTGACGATTGAAGATAAATTTGTACAGTCCACTTATGAGACACTTTTAAAGGATGCGATTGTTTTGAGACGAAATGCTACATTGAGTTAGGAATGGCTTGATGTCAGGAAGGTTAGTAATTTTTTCAAATCAATACAAACCTTTGTTAAGCAAATTTGCCACTTTGTTAACTTAGATCAGCAAGTTAAGCACCTAATTCAGTTCTTTTTATGCTACTCAATTTTAAATGCGCCTTAAAAATCCGAAACTCACAACTTTATCTTCTCCAACATTTGCATCATCTCGATTTCAAGTGATTTTCTCGTCTTCCCAGAAAATGTACAGACGAGAGAGAAAATAAAAAGTACTACATTGGAGACCGAGTTAAGGACCGTATGGCAAATTTCATTAAAGGAAATGAAACATATGGAAGTTTGTTGCACTTAAACTCATTTCTTTTTCATACTCAATTGATCACAATTTCGTTATTCGGAAATATAAAATTTGTAGGCAATAAAATTTATAGAGCCATATGGAACGGCCAACAAAATTACAAATTACTGTTAATTGCAGAAACTTTCTCATCCCTAAAAAAATTAGATATTATTGTGGTTGATTAGAAGTGTAAAAACGAACCAACACCCTCACAAAACGATGGACATTAGAGACTCATTACTCATCCTGTTACTTCTGTTTCTCCTTTTACAATTTAATTGTTTTTTTTTCTGTGTGAAACTTCAATTTAAATACTTTTCGATTTGACAATTTACATGCACATTCGGGTCATGGGGTGAATTGAGCATCATCATCGTTGTCAAACTCTGGCGATCGATCATGACCAGCCACATGGAATTTGTTTTGAAAAATTCCCATAAAAGAACTTTTATTTTTTTGTTCCAATACATTGACCTTATTATGCAATGCAATTAAATTTATTTCCTGTTTTCCTAGAGTGTCATGTGATAATGTAAGTGAATATAAAATTATGCAGCATCATCTGTCGTGCACATATCGCGAGTCTCACGGCAATGCGACCGTTATAAAAATTGATACTTAATGAGTTCTCATCGAAAATATCATACGACAATTTAATCGTGTGATTGTGTCATTGACGGCTAATTGATATCACTTTTCGTTTGCTTTTGTCGGTTGCCGAATATTGCTATATATTGTGAGCATGGAAATATTCTTGGGAGATGCTGAAATGCTGAGATGATGAAAATCTAGGACAATTTACAGAAATGTTAGATTTAAACTAAATCTAGTCCATTTATGCTCAATTTAGTATCAATTAAATTAAATTTTAAATCTAGTACAATTGAAAATCTATTACATTTAAAAACCAAGTACATTCATTAATCTAGTACTTCCAAGTCAATACTGTCCCAAATGCGCTTTCTAATTTTTTTATATCCTCGAATACAAATCTCCAAAATACAATTTTCAATTCGAATCAATTCCCAAAAACAACATCAGCTTAAAAATTGATCAATTAATATAGCGCCATATATTCATAAAATGTTGCAAGAGCATTCGACGCAAAGAAATGTATCTCTTATTATCGGCGACGTTACGATACATGCCATCGGCCCATTCCACAAAGTCAATTATTATTATCATCATCAGAAAACTGTTGAAACATTTAATGTGTATTTTTCATCAACCCAAAACGTAAATAAGAAGAGAACTATTTAAACTACATATATAAAAGAATTATTTGATTGCCGTTACTTTCATTTTGGGAAAACTGTTCATTAATCATTTACAGCTAATGATAACCGTCCAGTTCAATAATGTTATTTTCTCGGGTGCATTTATTTGAATTAAAATTCAATCACATAGTTTTTGGATGTGAACTGAATGGTAGCGAACAAATTGCAGTGGCGATGAGGAATCTGATGGGAAGATCTGAAGAGAATTTTTTAAAGACATTGCTGCGGCATCTGAAAACTGATTTTTGTTTGTTGTAATTATTTTATCATTGCATTGTATTGGTTGTGGGAAATTTATGTGAATGATGAGAGAATTGATTTATTTTCGATTTATTTTATAGACGATTTCTTGAGGATTTATGTGTAAGAATACAGGTTCAATTTGATTTGTATGATGATATAACTCAAAGATTTACTTATTTACTTACTTACTGCAACCATGTTTCTATGTGGAGCTTAATTACAACAAAAGGCTTTCCATCTGACTCTGTTACTGGCTCTGTCACCTAATTTGTACAACTTCTCTGATCGCAGTTAAAGATTTAAGTACGAGGAAATAACATTCGCAAGCTTCAATTGAGCATCGAATTTTAATAAATAAATTGCACACATTGCATTCACATGATCATCCTCAACAAAAATTATCTTCTCCTAAATGCCAAAAGAACTGTCATTTGACAAATTTTACTTCCATTATCTTCATTCTGAACAATTTTCTTCTCCATAAAACCAGGAACACTCAAAGTCATTCAAAAAATACTTCTTAATAACTAGATCAATGAATGGAGATAAACGAAATGAATAGCAGCACTTTCATTAAGTTAAATGAATAAAAAGAAGAAGTTTAAATAAAATATAATTTATATCAACAATAATAATGACATTCAAGGCATACAATTACAAACTACTCGATAAATTACAGGCAAGAAACGGAGGAGAAAGAAGAGAAATGAGGAATTTCGTTAAAGAATTATTTTCTTTACCGTAGGGGAAACGTTAAACGGTCTCGTGTCATCATCATCAACCGAATCCATAAGAAATGCAAAAGAAAATATTAAGGCAGGAAGTAGGTGTTGATGATTCCCATTGTTTATATTCATGTTAAATTACTATTTAACTAATTAGATCAAAACAGATATCAATCAGCACTCGTGTTTGTCGTGTGTGTATTTTTTTGTGCTTAAATCATTGCCTTGTTCCTCTTCCTGAAACGCTCAAGTGCAATCAAATGTAAAAGGCACCAAAAAAAAAAATCTTTGCAGTGCCGCTTAAAAAAATTAAAAAACGGCACGTGTGTCATGTTTTTGCCTCGATATGTATGGCACTAAATGCCGGAAAATTGGTCTTTGCTGTCTCTTGAAATCTGATTTTTTTATTTTAATTTCCTGTTTGTCGACAGTCAAATTTTTTGTTGGACTGCCTTAAAATTTCCAAATTTTGAGAGGCTTGAAAAAATATATAATTTTTTGGGTGCCATTTCTACTTAAGGAAGTGCACGAATCTGAAGCAAAACAATATTAGGAATGAGGAAAAAATATTAAAATTCAATTAAGACACTTGAACTTTGGCAGTAGAAAAAGGAACAAATTTTTTTTCGTCAATATTTTGTAAACATACGGATGATGTTGATGTTATGAAGTGATTTTGAGTCTGACATATGGTGAGTGAAATTTAGTAATAATGGCAGTAGAACTGAAGATATATTGAGAATATTTTGTATATTCATTGAATATCTGATGATGACTTTATTAACTGCTCTGTAAACCCTACAAGTAAAGCCTAAGGATTTACAAACCAACCGACCAAAGAAATTTCCAAAAACGTATTAAAAAATAAAACTCCAAACCTACACTAAAAATCTTTATTGTCAGTTCCTTTCTTCTAATACAATTTGGAATCCATCAGATCTTTTCAATATAATATCGCCCATTAGCTTGAAATCTTCTTCTTTTACCAAAGATTTAACCTTAAAATTCCTGACAATTGTACTGAGCAGAACTTTTAACTTCAACATTGCATATTTCCGACCAACACATGATCTAGGACCAGCGCTGAACGGAATGAAGCTATAATAATGACGATTTGCTGTTTTCTCGGGTAAAAAGTTGTCTGGGTCGAATTTGTCTGGATTCGGAAAGTTTTCGGGTGTTCTGTGAATTTTGTAAGTTCCAATGAGTACCGTTGAACCTGCTGGAATTGTGTAATTTTCTGATGATAATTTTACATCTTGATTGACTTTTCTAGCAATGACAGGAACTGGTGGATACATCCTCAATGTCTCAAAAATTACTCGTTCCATATATTTCATCTCCAGTGTGTCTGAAAATGTACAATCTCTTCCAGAATCTCCAAAAATAGCTTTTTGTTCCTGATAAACTTTTTCTTGAATGTCTGGATGACATCCCATCATACACAAGAAGAAACTTGATCCAGCAGCAGTTGTATCATGTCCTTCGAACATAATTGTATCTACTTGTTGTTGTATTTCCACGTCTGAAATTTGTGAAGGATTATAATGTGAAGTTTCAATCATCAAGTCTAAAAATGCCAATCGTCTCTTCTCTCCAACATCATTCTCATCAATATCATCAAGATCATCACGAAGACCATCCGTTGGATCATTTTTTGGTGCTGTTTTGATGATATCCTGTAAAGATGGCATTGGTAAGTTACCTTTTTTGAGATTCTCATTAAAGTCATTCCTTCTCTGTGACAAAACTTTATTTGTAAATCCATGAATGACACTCAAGCACTTTTCTTCCACTTTCTTAAAGCTTGATAAGTTATACAGCCAATTGAGTCGATACCAAAACTTCAAATGCCTTTTATGGATTATATCACACATTTTCATTACAGCCATTGCATACTTAAAGGCACTCATTTCTTTCTGTTTGTCTGTCTTTTTAAATCCCATTGCAGTTGATAGTAGGATGTCGACTGTAGCTTCACTCATATGATCATGACAATCAAATTCATTTCCAACTTCCATTCTTAATCTTTTGATGACTTTTTTACTATTTTCATTAAATGTTGGTACGAAACTTTTCAGGACATTCATGTGGAATGCTGGAGCTATTAATTTTCTGTGCGTGCGCCATTTCTCGCCAGTTGAGATAAGTAAGCCATTTCCAAGCCAAGGTTTGAAGAATCTATACTCATCTGATTTGTCGATATGGACTTGGCTGTTTAGGATGACTTCAACATCTTCAGGATTCCAAATAACAACCAGCAACTTCCATCCAACCCAGCCTCTGACAATTCTTCCAAACATTCTTGACAACTTCATTGCTCTCTTGAATGCATGATGATTTCCTTTCAATCCCCAAATAACCATAAAATTTCCAATAAATGGAAGTGACTTTGGTCCTGGAATCTGGTTCCCTAATCTCGCTGTGTGACTTGTTTCATGATAAAAGTGAGCAAGTGCCAATGCCACAAGTGAAAATACTAAAGTTACCAATGAATAATTCCATGATGATTCTGATCCTATATCCAAATGATCAACTGTCACGTTCATAATACAATAAGAAATTCTACTTGATTCAAATGTTTTGCTAATATTAATTTCATTATTTTTGCATGCATTGCTTTTATAGTCTGACTAAAACTTAAATATTAATAAATTAAGTCTCACATGTGGGACTCGATGGGGTCACTTGGCTGATACGTCATTTAGCTTTTTTTGAAATGATAATGAACTTAATTTCTTGTAAACTTTTTACACTTGACATAGTTTTGTTGGACTGATTGTAAATGTTGGTTTAGATTCCTACTTGTTGGAAACTATTATGAAAAGAATTAATGCTTATTGGAATCTGGTTATCTATAGAAAGTCCTTCTCCTAGGCTTTGTTCTTATCAAATCTGAATTTCTTTCAAACCTCCTCTTCATTGACTCATTCAAGTGTCAAAGTGTCACACTCAATTATATATTAACAATGCAGTAACTTGCTTAATGTCTACTCCTTTTGCAACTAAGTAGACAGTCACGTTTCAGAAAATAAATGCATGTCAATATGTCAACTGTCTACTTTCGAATGTACCTAGATTCATTCAAAAAATAAATGTTTTAATTTTAAACCCCAAATAAAATTTACATACGCTGTTCAAGTTCAAATTCTTGGTTAAAACTTACAAAAAATTACCATACTATAAAAGTGTTTAATTCATTTTGAAAAATAAAAACATCAAAAGTCAATAAACTTTATTGCACTTTGCCGAAAAAAAAGAAAGAATCCTCTGCTTACGCAAAAAAAGAACTTACGTGATTAATGACACATATTAGGCTATAAATGGTATTAATGAATGTCAGTGCATATGTGAATAAACTTAGTATTATAGTTTATTATAAGCATTCAAATGTTTCATTAATATAGAAAGCTATGTGTACTTTGAAGTAGTAAAAAGTTTGGAAGTTTACGGGTATTGAACGCATTAATTGATTGGCTTGATTGAAAATTACTTGATCCTTAAAAATTTTACTTGATTTATGAGGAGTATAAAGGTCACTGTGAGCTGAAGTGGCTCGGTGGCAGAATTGTTTAGTACTTCGGTACATAATTATTGCAATACCGACACAGCGATCATGGGTTCGAGACTGGGTATGAGAAATTTTTCACTTGTCCTTTTTCAAATCATGTGTACTGGAAATGAGGCGCACAGCCTTCCTTTGTAGGCTACAGGCAGAAATGTCATCAGAGAAGTGGTTCGGATTCCACAAATATTACTTGATGCTTTATAGTTAAGAAATATTCCAAAAAAATTTACAATTTCACAGTCACGCACAAAACAATTGCACTTTAAAGAACTTAAAGACACGGCAAACAAAATAGAAGTTTTTACCGCAAAATGGCACAAAGGTGTCTTCATTAAAAATTCAAAAAGCAACAGCACACTCAACAAATTCGATTCTAATTAATTCGATTTCCTTTGAAAGCCTTTTCACGTTTGACTATAAAATGGCTAGACTTCATAAATTTGACATTCAGTTTTTTCATTCGATTGATAGTGACAAGTAAAAGTTGAAATACTGAAGGGAATAAAAGTGCAATAAAACATTTTATTTTGTCATCAAATTAAGGATTAACATACCAACAATGGCTGTGGAGCAAATCATTCAAAGTAGTGTTTTCTCATCCCCACTACTGATGCCTCTCCTCGCAATTGTTTTCGTTCTAACTGCCGTTCACTTTTGGCAAATGACAAGAAGAGAAAGAAAGATTGGAGATTTACTTCCAGGACCACCGACAGTTCCAATTATTGGAAACGCTTATTATTTCTTAAATAGCACAAATCATGGTAATGACTAGAAATTATTTGAGGTTAAGTCTGTCAAAATTTATAAACTCCAATCAATTTTAGAAATTTTCAATAAAGCTATCGACCTCGTCAACTGCTACGGAAGTGTAGTTCGTGGTTGGGTAGGACACAAACTATTCGTCGGTCTCTCAGATCCACGTGATGTTGAGATTATTTTGGGAAGTCATGATCACATTGACAAGTCTGATGAATATAAATTATTCCAGCCATGGTTTGGTAATGGCTTGTTAATTTCAACTGGCGAGAAATGGCGAACACACAGAAAACTTATCGCTCCAGCCTTCCACATGAATGTCTTGAAAAGTTTTATGTCAACTTTCAATGACAACAGTCGATTTGTTATCAAAAAGTTGATGAAGGAAGCTGGAAAGGAATTTGATTGTCATGACTACATGAGTGAAGCAACTGTTGACATTTTATTGGAAACAGCTATGGGATCGAAAAGAACAAGTGAAAGCGAGGAAGGTTTTAAGTATGCAATGGCTGTAATGAAGTAAGTTGTTGTCTTAATTTTGAGCTATTTGGATCCTAATCTCTTACCAAATCTAATCAAACCACAAATTTTTCAATTCCAGAATGTGCGACATCCTTCACAGACGTCAATTCAAAATCTTTTCAAGATTCGAACCATTCTTCACCCTTACCGGCATGAAGGAACAACAAAAGAAGTTATTAGGCATCATCCACGGTATGACACAGAGAGTCCTCAATGAAAAGAAGGCAGTCTTTGACAAGAATTTGTCAGAAGGAAACCTTCCATCACCATCACTCCAAGAAATTATTAAATCGGACGCATCCGTTGATCAAGCAATTAAAAAAGCAAAGGCAAAAGCACAAAACCTTGATGCTGGTCTTCGTGATGATCTTGATGACATTGATGAGAATGATGTTGGTGAAAAGAGACGTTTGGCTTTCCTTGATTTGATGATTGAAACTTCTCATTACAATCCACATCAATTGTCTAAGGATGAAATTAAGCAACAAGTTGATACAATTATGTTCGAAGGACATGATACAACTGCTGCTGGTTCTAGTTTTGCATTGTGCATTTTAGGATGTCATCCAGACATTCAAGAGAAAGTTTATCAGGAACAGAAAGCAATTTTCGGTGATTCAGATCGTGACTGTACATTTGCAGATACATTGGAGATGAAATATTTGGAACGAGTAATTTTTGAGACATTGAGGATGTATCCACCAGTTCCAATTATTGCCAGAAAGATTAACAAAGATATCCGCTTGGCATCATGTGATCAAATTGTTCCAGCAGGTTCAACGATGATTATTGCTACAGTTAAAATCCACCGAAGACCTGACATCTATCCAAACCCAGACAAATTCGACCCTGACAACTTCTTACCCGAAAGAACATCAAACAGACATTATTATGGATTTATTCCATTCAGTGCTGGTCCAAGATCATGTGTTGGACGTAAATACGCAATGTTGAAGTTGAAAGTTCTTCTCAGTACAATTATTAGGAACTTCCACATTAAAAGTACAGTTGCAGAGAAAGATTTTAAATTACAAGCTGATATCATCTTGAAGAGAACTGACGGATTTAGAATTAAGTTGGAACCAAGAAAGACCAAAGCTTATTAAATGGTATATTAAGCAATAATTCTGATATTAATGGACAATGACTAATGCAAACCGCGAAATATGGACAATTAATGATGGAATATGAACTAGTTTTAAGCTTCCTTACTTTCCTGTTTTCTTTCTTGTTCTGTGGATCATAATGGTTATGTGGGAGGCTCAAAAATGCATGATGACTGAAAAATCATAAAAAATTCTGTTTGAAAAGTTTGAGAACAACTGGTTTATAATATATTTTAATAATTCCAATTGTTCCTGAACTTATGCAATTTCAAGTCATAATTGAAAAAATTAATATTATGACTCAAATTTCAGAAATTCGAATTTAAAATTACTTAGCCTCAGATAAAGTATTAATAATTAGAGTTCGTGTCTGGAAAAAACGTAAAACAAATTAATCAAAATTTTGCCGTAAATCTTAAGCAAAAAGTCGGCAAAAAATTAAGAAAAAATCATAAAAAAATTAAAAAATTGACAAAATTCTCTGCATGACTATTTAAAGAATCCAATCTATCCACTATCCTCTCGATCTCTTCCTTCATTCTTATTTATTTCCTTTTTCCTATTTCTTCTTTACTCTATCAATTCTATCCCTGCAATGAAAAAAAAATCCAAAAAAAAATATTAATTATAGAAAAAAAGCAATAAAAAACAATACATTCAGCTCATTAAGCTAAAACACTGTGATTCTTTATTTTTTTTATTTTTCTATTCTATAATAAATGTAGCTGTTGAAAAGGAATTTTAGATTGTCGTCCTAATTTACTATCTTGTTACACTCAATTTAGGTCTAATGATGACCGGAAACATGAAATTTATCAAAACAAAATTTCTTTTTCACACGTTTCTTTTAAGGAGCAGTATCAAGAAGATATTGAGGATGTGATTGATCGATATCGCTTAATTAAAACAACATTGAAGGAAACAAAGCTGAAAAGGAAGAGAAAAAGTTAAAAGAAAGAAGAAAAAAAATTAAAAATTGGAACAAGTTGCTGCACGTGTCCTGTTTTGTTTCTTGGGTGCTTGTTAAAAAAAATTGAAATTTTGTTAAAACATTGATTACCAACATGGATAGCTCCAATCGATATATTCAAAGAAACTAGGGTCGCTATATCAATATTTTTTAAAACTTCAAGATTCAACTTATTGTGCTTTTAAATTCTGAGAATATTTAACCAATATCAAATTCTGGGATTATGAAAATTGAATTATCCAAGCTTAAAATTCAATAATTAACTACAAAAAAAAATTTGATTCAATTCTGAAAATATTTAAAAGGCACTCAAATAAAAAGACAATTTTAATTACCATTCAGTTACATAAATGAATTAATATTTTTTATCATTTTATTTTCTTATTATTGTTTTTCAATTTTTATCAATCTATATTAATTAGTCATTATCGTAATTAGTAACATAGATTCATTCTTCTTCTTTTTTAAATTTTTATAATCAATCTTTAAGTATTCCTTTATTTATTCATGTTTTATGTCTCATTTTCATGGACTGAAGGTCACAAAAATTTATAAAATTACCCATAGAATTAAATCTTTTTTTTTATTCTTATTTTATTATTTTGAAATATTTATTTTTATTTTTGTTTTAAATTCTAAAGTCAGTACGGAATTTTTTAGATATTTTTTTGTTCAAAGTTCAAATGCTTTGGATTGAGAATTTCATTTTTCAAGAAAATTTTGAGAATATCCAAATTTAAAATTTGAAATCAATTTATTTTTACTGATAAAAGTTTTAAATTTGAAAATTTGAAAGAATTATTTTTTTTTTGATTTTTCCAAAGCATTTAAACTCTAAACTCTTGATAACATTTATTATTATTATTTCGGGATGAGAATTTTTTTTTAAAATTAATTGAGACATTTATCTGTCATATCGCATTGTGAATTATTTTTTATTATCATTCATCTTTTCAATAAAGATTTTCAATCAGTCGTGCCTGAAATTCTCGAGAATAATGAATTCCAAGATTAGAAATGTCCAAATTCAAATTCAAATTTTTTTAATCTTAAATTCCATTCTTGTAAAGAATTTCTCTCAAAATCCAGCAAATTTAGTTCTAAAGATAAAAATCTAGCAACAAAATTTTAATGTTTTCCATCAATGAAAAGCATTAAAGGTTAATTTTTATATATCCAATACTAGAATTATATCCTTCGAAACAATTTTTAGCTAATTCTGTTGTATACGTGGAATAACAAGTTTATTGTTCAACAATAGACACGGAAAAAAATTAAAAAGGATGTGATTATCAAGGTTAATGTGATAAAATATGACAAAAGTTAAAAACACTTAATTCGTCAAATTTTGGACCAAATTTACCCCAAAAACCAACATCCAGGCAAATTTTCTAATTAATTTGATTTATCTAGTTTTAAGTGTATGCCGACAATACGATGAAACTGTTAATACAAAACTTTAAAACTCCTCAAGTTACTATAGGAATTTCAAAATTAAGTAAATTTTTTGATAGATAATTGAATGTTATTCGAAGTTGTTTGTGAATTATTATTATTTCAATCTGTCTAATCTACGTGGTGAAGTGGCTGTTTTTCGGTCTCTTAAAATTGTTAAATATTTTGCATTTTATTTCAAATATGAACATCTACGTTATAGAGAACAGTGTCATCAGTTGATATCACTAAATTATTAAGGTTTTGTTTCAATAGTGCTAAAAGAATCAGTCTAAAAATTTCAAGGTTATTCATCATAGAGTTCTTTTATATGTGTTGTAGGGCGGGTGAGGGTTGGATGATTTGAAATATTATTTATTTTAAAACTTGATTTTGAGTTTTTATTTCATTTTAAGTGTTTGAAATTTTCAAAATTTTATACTTCAAACCTTCCTACCTCCACCCACCTAATTATGGTATATTTCAGGACATTTTCTTCTACAATTGTTACAATAAAAGACATTAAATCATAAAATTCCTAAAGGTTATTGGTTGTGGATATTTTTAAATACTGATAGATACTATTTCTGGAGATGGGTTTGTGTAAACTATTTTAATAATAACTGTTGTATTTTTTTTTGTCACAATGTAATTAATTTTATAAATTATTCATAAAATTAACACAGAAATCACGCTATTGACGAGGAACTACAAATGTTTTTTACTTAAATTAAACATAATTTTTTTTATAAAATTTTTATAATTTTCAAAATTTCTACGTAAATTTTTAAATATTGTTTTTTTAAGAAATTGTTGAAGTCGTTTGAAAATTAGACAATCAATCGATTTTAAATTTCTTTCTTGGCATTCAGGCTACTTGACATTAAATTTATTATTTTGATCTCTTAAACAGCCAATATGTTTCTAACATTTAATCCAAAATATTTTATTGTTTTTCAATTGTTTTGTCTAGAATCTAGATGATAGAATCTTAAAGGATTAGAATCAACAATCTAGATTTCAACTCATTACTTGCCAAATTTAAAATATAATCTAATTGTTGAATTATATTGTCCAATAAGGTACTTTGAATTTTTAAGCCAATATTTTCTATAAAACGTGAGTAATCTGGACTCTCAGCCTGAAAATTTAATCAAATGTTAGTCTATTCTTTACCATTTTGCCATTTAATATTCTTTTAATTATACTTTCTACATCCTAAATACTTGCTATTTATGTTAAGGCTATAAGAACTTAATCTTATTTTAATAGTCCTTCCATCAATTATTAAATAATTTTTATGAATTTCAATTTTTGACACTCCATTTAAAAGCTTGCGATTTTTTTAACTATTTTTCAAACGACTTCAACTTACAAAATTCTAGAAAATTGCTAGTCTAGTGGACAAACTTCAGAAAAATAACAATTGTTAAAAATTATTTAAAAGATATTAATGAGAGTTTGAAATTCAAAATAATCAGAAAGTTTTTAAGATTTCAACTTAATATTTTGACTGTAATTGTTCCACCAGACACCTTACAATTAATTTTGAAAGCCTCGCAGAAATTAATGGCTACAAAAATAGCCAAAAATAACAAAAAGCTCCCAAAATTTTTCATTTACTTAATCCTAGCCTCAAACTCAAAAAGTTTGCAATGAGAAGAAAAAATTTTAAATTTCCAAGAGAAAAAAAAAATTACACGAAATTTTTGAAAAGGAAATAATTGTCCCTTAAAGCTATGCAATCATCAAAACACTCATATAAAGAAAGAAAAAAAATATATTTCGACGATTTCTCCTTAACTATGTCATACATATCTTATGCAGCTATAATTGCTATCGGAACGTGTTTCTTTTCCTTCCGTTTCAGATATTTTAATAAAAATTCAATCGCCCATGCGAGAATGCAAATTATTATGCAAACGCTTTGCGAATGTATACAAACGGGAAATGATCCAGTCCAATCACGTATTGCTCCGATTAATGGTCCAAACAGAGCAACAAACAATCCTTTTCCGACCATGTGCCACCCAAATGCTGCTGGTAACTTTTCGAGTGATGAATATTCACTGACGGTGAGGGTGAAGTTGCTGAGTGCAATTCCACGGAAAAAGCCGGCAATACAAAGCCAGACCATCATGTTCGTAAATTGAGTTTGTTCGGCTAAAACTGTTAAAATAAGAAAATTTAAAAATTAGATAAATTTGAAATTTACAATTTAAAATTTTAAATTTTCGAAAATCTAGTTCGAATTTTGAATTTTCGGATTTATAAAATTTCAAAAATTCAAGTTCGAATTTTTCGAAATTCGAAATAAATTTTTAATCCGTTTTTTGATCATACCTGATCTGGTAATTGCAACAAAAAATATAGAAGTCATAAACACAAGACGCTTTGAGACCTTCGTCTTATCACAAATCGGTGGAACAATAACACGAGCCAAAATATCAGTCAATGCAGAAATACTCAAACAATATGCAGTATCAGCTTTCGAATATCCAAGATTAGCCAGAAAGAATGGCGTAATCATTTTAAAATTCATCTCAGCGACATAAAATATCGACAATCCAAAGAGAATGTTCAAATATGTCCAATCCTTTAATAAATCAATATCCATCAATGTTGCAAAACGTCGCCAGAAAGATGCTTTCTTTGGCTTCGGCATTTCGAGTCCAACTTCGGAGCCTTTGATGAAGTCTGGACATGAAAGCTTTGAAGTGATGTCTGCCTTGCTCATCTTGAAGGATGAGTTGAGTGAATCACGATAAAGTGATGTGCCGACGTGGGTGTTGACACGTCTGATGAATTGTGAGTCATATTCTTCTTGGTCTCGGTCACCAGTCTGAAAAGATTTATTTATTTTTGTTACATACTTCTTCTCTTCTGACAGAAATCCTCTAAATCACAGCAAAAATTTCTCATTTCCTTACCTCCAAATGAATTTGTAGACAACTTCCACTGAAATCCAAATGAGACAACGATGAGATTACAGATTCTTTACGTTTACGAATCATTTGAGTCATGTCAGCATGCGATGTTATTTTTGGTAACGTTGGAATTCGTTTGGGTAACATGTTGTTTGAGCTTGTTATACGAGGAAATGCTGGACGTTTTGGTACACCATTTGATAACATCAAGCTATTATTGCTATTTTCTGATATTTTTCTTTCACGTCCTTCATGCCTACGATTATTAAACAAAAGAGTTTGAATTTCAGGCAAAGAGTCCTCATCTCCATCATCTTCTTGAATAATTGTCAGTGCTGGATAATCTTGTTCCATCATCTCAACGTCAAGCTCTTCTTCCTTCAAGTGCCACTTTACTGGCTGTAGTAAAATAGATCCAATTGCAGAATGAAGTGCCAATCCAGAAAGAATAAGAACTGCACCACGGAATGAAAATTCTTCAAGTAAAAGTCGCACAAGTTGTGGCATGATTAACATTCCTAAGGCTGTTCCAGCCATAGACAGTCCAACTGCTTGTCCCCTTTTCTTTGTAAAATAATGGTTTAAAGCAACGAATGCTGCACTCATTGCTAATCCAACTCCAACACCTGAAAAAAGATAATAGAGGGAAAATTGATTAATTTTTTTTTGGTTTGTGCAAAATTCTGCACATCAAAAATGTAAATTTTGAATCAAACTAGTCAAAATTTGCATCAAATGCGACTAATCCTTATTCAAATAAAACGGATTTCCTTAAATGACTCAAAAAATTGTAAAGTTTGAGCAGCTTCATATTGCGCAATTAAGCAAAACTATGCATATTTCCTCTTGGCTTTCTTCCCAATCTAATGAATATTCTGAAAATTTCATCTCTCCATTTAAATTTAATTGCAGCTTACAAATTTTCCCCACCCACATTCGTTAAATGACATTTTACAACTTGAAGTATTTAGGATCTACATAGATTGTGCTTTACAGAGGCGTAAATAACAAAAGTCCTGATGCCATTGAAAATTTAAACGCAATTTAGCACATAATCGAGGATTTTGTGACGTAAAAGTGATGACAAACTTTTATCATGTTCATAATTGTCATAAAAGGCATTCAAAACATTTGTCGTAGACAAATAAACAGTTTCGCATTCCAGATGTTGTTTTTGATAAAGTTTCGAGTTGTTTTCGTCTTCATTTTAGTTATCACTAAATTAATACTTGCATTTCATCATCTTTTATGGATCATTTTCTCTTGAGGTCTTAATAAAGTCAAACTGAACATAAAGGTGTAGCCAATAAGGAGAATTCTGATCGTTTTAGACAAGTAATCTCAACATGTTTTGAATTTGAAATCCAAACCTTCACGAGTTCCATAATCTTTGCATTAATTTTAATTAATATTTTTTAATGTCCCAACTCGAAAAGTAAACACCAACCTAATGTTACGTAAAGCTTCAAAAAAAAATTTAATGCTTCAAAAATAAATTAGCCTAATTGAAGCTTAATTAATGTTTACTTTCGCCAGAAAACTGATACAAAAAAAAAAGTTTTTGATGCAAAATAAGAAGAATCTTTTTAACGCGAATTCACTAAGGAAAGTAATTTAACTCAGTGACTAGTCACTTTTTAAACTCTGTTATTCGTAATGAAATTTGTAAAAGTTTCGTTTTCAAATCTTAGTTTTTGAATTACAGAAAAGGGTATCTTGGATATTTTGTGATACAAATTGGTCTAATCTTTAAAATGTCATTTGAATTTTATTTAAAAGCTGATATTCATCCTAACGGTATTCAAAATTGTGTCATACGGATCATATAAAAAGGATAAAAAGGTCAGATTTATTTAATGGAATGTAAGAAAAAAAGCTCATAAATTTAAGGTTTATAAATCAATAAATTAATTCAATAAATACTAAAATAATGAAAATAAAAACATTAGCTTCAAAATATTTCACCGATGCGAGCAAATAACAAAAATCAGAAAAATGTGCTCAATTTCCTTTTGTTTTGCAATTTTTAATGTTCAATGGATTGAATTAAATGAAGCAAAAAGATAAATTTACAGAAGATTCTAAACCTTTTCTTGAAAATAGTAATAGCTTCAATTTTAAGAGATTTATGAGAAAAAAAAAGAATTTCTTGTTAATCTTGCTTTTTCATATAACATTAATTGGAACTGAAACCTTTTCATATTTTAAGACGCAATTTTATGAAGAAAAGATTTCATTGGACCTAGAATTCTCATTCAAACTTTATATAACGAAGTTTTGTAAGACTTTTAGTATTAAGAAACTTGTATGATTTCTGATGAATTCAACAAAATGAAGGCTTCTTTATTTTGTTGCTTTCTAATGTAATCATGATTTTGTAGCCTTGTCATATTGACAACATCCTGTGCAAAACTTGACAATTGCTTTGTAAGGATCTACAAATAGTTTAAACTCGAATTTTTAACATTTGAAGATTCCACAAATTCTTAAAAATTATTTTAAAGCACAACTTAAATCCATTAAACCTTTTTTTATCAGATCATATAAAATCATTTCTTAAAAGCACATAATAAATGCATCCTCGTACTCCTTTCCATTTTATCCTTCTCTATTATTCAGTTTATTATTATATCCAACACTATAAAAGAAGAAAACAGTCTTTTTATGAATACAGCAAATGCGCTCACGTTTATGATTATTTGTTCACATGGCAAATATCCTCGAGTGATTTTATTCATAATGGAAACATCCTGTGAGACATGGTTGGTGCCATAAGATTGTAGAGTCAATAATGATTGAGATTAATGATGTTTAAATTCGAAAATTTTGGATTTTAGATAAGTTTGAGGATTAAAGAGAGGAATGAGATTGATTGGGAATATTGAAGATAATTTTTAAGATAATGGACGATTTGAGTTATTTGACTAAAGGATTATGAGAAGGATGGCCAACCCTGCATCCCATTAATGAGAATTAAAATTGTGAAAAAAAAATCTTTTAAATCCTATTTACATGACGACAAATTCATTACGTTATTTATGAGCTCATAGCCTAATAAAAGGTTTTAATATATGCTAAACAAGAAGCATGCAGAGCTCATAGAGATAATAATATCATGAACATTAAAATTAAAAAAAGTATCATAAATGTCAGCTCATTTTTCAACCACATAACAAAGTTGTTACATAATTTGAGATACAAAATGAGCTTTCCTTTGCATTGGAACAGACATAAAATATATGAGATAAGATAAAGTTCAAGGTTGATTCCGATATTTAATGAGAAAAATGTCTGTGCATCATTTCGCATGCAAGGTACATCCATAAGACAACAAAAAATATTCTCATATTTTCAAATAAATTGTAATGGAGCTAAAAAATATATAAAAACAAAACTATTGGATGTGACGTTTATGTTATAAATTCATGATGCGCTTGTCGATGCAAGCAAACAAGGTCAAGTTCATGGTAAATGCAAGGGGAATCAAGGTAAGAAGGTAGAAAACAGAGAAAAAAATAATGTGCATAGAAACTAGTTGCTGCAAATGGGGTGAATCAATTAATGAGTTTGGAATATTTTATTTACTTTTTTGTGGTATTTGACAATTGTATGGACAATGATAATTGAATTTTGAGCTATTTTTAGTGTCGGTAATTAGATTGAATTGAGTTATTGCTATTCTTAGTACGGGATTACATAAGAGGAAGCTTATAACTTATTCTAGAATCAATTTAACGAGGTGTGGAATCTTCCATACAATGTTTAATAGGGATTGAGTGCAGTGAACATTGCGGTACGTCTAGAAGCTTAAGTAAGGCTTTGATATTGGTTTTACGGTCTTTAATTTGCCAGTTCATTAGGTTTATAATTCCACTGATTGCATTTTAGTCCACATTCAATGTTTGTTCATCTCTAAAGCTTACAAGTGATTAATTTTAGAGTATCTTTGTCTATGTATCATGATATCAGGAATTTAATGCCATAAATGCGCTAAATCATCGAATGTTTTATTAACTTCTTTCAATTTGAATCATTATTTGAGAATAAGAACCTGTTTACTTTCATAAACCATCTCTCTACCCCATATCCATCCATCAAACTCATAATATTCATCTTCTATTCATTACTTTCGTTTCTCTTTCACACAAAACCGGTTTCATCTTTTTATTCCTTTATGCTCTTCATCACCAAACAAGGCAGCAAAATGTAAGGCACGATAGATGTTTTCTGATTTATGACTTCAACTCACGTTTCATGTTAAAAATTCTCTTACATAATAATCAAGTTATTATCTTTATGCTGGCTTATATGAAACAGATGCTGTTAATTGACAAAAGTATTGATATTTCATATTCGATAAATTTATTCAAACCGGCCGGTTCTTAATGGTTATGTTAACCCATATCAATAGTCATGATATTGACATTGAATATGTGCTTTGTAGTCGTTGTGGAAAAATATTTATCTTTTAAGTTACAAGTCTTGTGTATTTGTTGTTGGGGATTAAGCTTTAAAAGATGTGTTATCTATTCTGAAAGCTTTACAAGATTTTTTTTTCCCATTTTTTATTTGTTCAAAAATTCCAACAATGACGCAAAAGAAGTTCTCTAAAATCTAGGACAATTGATAACTTTTTTCCAGCTCAGTGAATTATTTTTGTTCAATATCCTAATTGTTAAATAAATCTGTCAGAAACCAAATTGACAAAACAATTTTTTTTACCCTCAATCGCATAGATATGAGAAAAATCAATGCAAATATTTATTTGGACGACATTGAATTTTTGCTCTACCAAATACCTTAAATATAACTCCCGGAAAGTAGAAAATGTATTATTGTGCACATTAACAGAAGCTTGGCATGTCTCCAAGCTGGGAAATGGTAAAAGACTTGCTTGAGGTGATGGTGACTATGAAGCATTTTCGAAATAATTTAATATTGGTCTGAATCACATCTTATTGGACCAGAAAAAATTAGAAATATTTCTATTGGAAGTGTTCCGCTTGCATATGTCTTTTAAGATCATAGTTTTTATGACACAGCGCCCAACAAAGCAAGCCTCACAAAACATTGCTATAATATCTTAATATCCTCAACCATAATTCTTTTAATACCTTGAAAAATTGCTACCGGAAAAATTATGCACTGGCATAAGAGATGATAGACACACGAACACATGACATAAACTGTTCAGCCCTGTTCAGGTTGTTATTTTTCTTCATGACAATAATGAAGTTCCTCATTTAATAATCCACCGTCAAACTGAGTCAGTCACGTGTAACAGAAAAACCTCATTATAGAATAATAAAATTGACATGAGACTTACCATTTATGACTGAATATGTTGCTAGAATATGTCCCATACTGGTTGCTGATGATGTCAATGCAAGTCCTAATGCACATAAAAGTGAACCAACGATTGCAACCTTGCGGTATGAGAATTCTTTTAGCAGAGGACCTACAAAAAGTCCTGAAAGATTCATCATAATGTCAAGCATGCTAATGATGATAGCTGCGCCTGTTGTACCAACATTTAAATCTTGCAAGAGATCTCCAAAAAGTAAACCAAATGATGGTTCAATTGAGCGTGTTGCTAGCTGTAAATAAAGTATTTTTTGGATAAGATTTTTAAAAATTTCAAAAGAAAATCTTTAATTAAAAAAATCTCGAAAAACATCTCAAAAGACTCATAATTCAAACAGAGATGGTAATTAAAATGCCATAAAAATTTAATATACTTACATTAACTAAGCTAACACCAAATGTTGCAACCCAACCGTAGCCACCTAAAAGGAGAAAAGTTGTACAAAATATTTGCTTAATTAAAATGTATTTATAAAATAAACAATTTTGTGGATTTGATATTTGCGACTGGGTAAATAAACAGAGATTTATTGTACATCAAAATAAGAGAGTTCATAAATTTTCAGACAGACGTAGAGGTTGAATCAATATTTTTTGGAAGAGTATCTTGATTATATTTTGCAAATATGAATTTTTCATGAGAGAACTTCTCAATCATAACTGTCGAAAAGTCAATACTTTAGTGACTAAAATGTTTTGGGCGATGACTTTTGAAATAAGTGGATCGAAATTAAATTTTGTGTGTCAGTTGTTTTTAGATCTCGCAAGTTCCTTCTAGGGATCAGAAGCTTATTCAAAGGGTTATAGATTATTGAACGAGTGGAGGGGAGTTTGGATCCACTAGATTCATAATTGTGAAAACTTCTTAAAAACTTTTCATATTTTCGACACTTTTATTTCACTAATCATTTTACATAACTTCTAAATTATTAACACGTGTCCAATTTATCGGATTTTATCTTCTATTATTCAATTCAATTTAATTATCATCTACCAAACCATTTAATTATCATTTTCATCGCAAAATCAAACAAAAACAAGGGGTCATTCAATAATCACGTCCAATATTTAATTTAGAAAAAGATTCTTTGGATCTGAGCTTTAGCAGGAATTGTTGTGATTAGTAAAATGTTATAAACGTCATCAATGATCAACCCCAAATTCAAATCAGGTCAATAATCTTACCGTCGGGTGCAATCATCTTCACTGGTCGTGGTCTATCCATAGCTTTAATTAATTTTTCTTGTTAATTTAATTTATCAATCAACACGATTCACTTTTTGTCACTTTTTATGAACTTAGAATTGGTAAATGTCAAATGTTTGCCTACTAAAACGTATAATTTGTCACTTGATGCTTTAAGCTTATGAACTTCCGTGCGAATGATTTTTAAAATTGCTAATTTTTGTTAATTTTTCCACGTGAGTTTTTGAGTTCGCAGAATGTTTTTCAATTTCCGCAAGGCTTCACTTTTTACTACCCGACAATTTTTTTTTCGGTAAAAGCACTCAACACTTCACAAAAAAATATTTTTTTTCACAAATTGAAAATCAAGTAATTTTTCACTTTAACAAAAATGATAAAAAAATTTCAGTAATTATCATAAAATTAGCAGTTGATTCCGTGTCTGTTGTTGATGCACAGCATCAATAAGCTTTGTCGATGATTGTTGTTGAACTTCTCCTTTTTGTGACCACTTTGAGCTTAAATATGATACGGAATGTTGATGGATAGTTTGCTGATTAACATTGAGTAGCGTCGCTGTAGTTTTGTATGTGGTACAATCAAATATAATATTATTTTTGTTGTTATTTTGTTTTATCAACGGCTCCATTCTGTTATTTGTTGATGTGATTTTGACGTTGTCATTGTGATGGTGTGCATGAAATGAAAAATATAAGAAGAATATATGAGTAAAGTATTATTTTATGTCATGTTCTAAGTTAATGGGTTATTAAATTTCTCGATATTAAAAAAAATTGAAATAAAGGAAAATTGTGGAAGTGACGATAGAACGTGTCATTTGAAGAAGATTGGCAATTCCTTATCATAGTGTAAGCTGGTTTTGTCGCTGTTACAAGTGCATAGCCAGCAAGGACACATTGATATTTGCCTTCATAAATGCATGACTCCCAGAATCATCTACAATATTACAAAGTCTGTCAACTAAACTTATAAGTGACTTAGCTTAAATTCTTTCAAAAATGCGCTCTATTCATCCATTTCCCCTTTCATTTCTTCCATCATGATTCATACTAAACATCGTCATTTTTATCTTAATTGAAAACTATACAGATTCATATTTTCATCACATCTGAGAGCACATCTTGTTATCTTTGTTGTTAGGGAAGGTTTTATTGGCAACATGACGATTTATATTTTTTTCCAGAGCTCGTGATTTTTAGTGTCGATAATTTGTCTTTCAAATATTTACTGCGAATTTTTATGACGTCATTTAGATATGATTTGAAAATATGCATTCACTTCAACCGTTACCGAGCTCAAAACACAGTTTTAATCAGAATATTGTCGAAAATTTCATTTGGCGTAAATTGAAAATAAATAATAAAAAAATTAGCTTTTGAGTCATCTTGTTTATTTGGATCTAATAACATGAATTGGAATTTGATTCTATACAAATTCAGATTTACGGCACATGAAAATATTTGCTTATTCACAAAAATATTGATTCCAAAGTTCGTAAACATCTTCAAGTGGATCAACGATAAACTACTTGAAGATAATTAGAAATCATTTGGATAAATGCATAATCGATAGCAAAATGTTCATTATGTAATGTTGTTAACAAGAATGTTATCAGAAATTGAAGCTTTTTTTTGTTGTCTAACGGAAGTCATACAATGTATGTGGCATCTTTGAGCTTTTAGATGATGATCCTTGCTTCGGGGTTATAGGAAATTAGAAAGTAATTTCGGATAAGGGCTGCTCTTGTGTTGATTCATCTGATTGTTGGCTTTAATGTTAAATAACATTATGAGGCAGAGGTGAAATTTGAAGAAAATATTAACCTGATTTCAATAAATTAACTAATTAGCCTGCCAATTTAAAATAAAATTTGATCCATAACTAGTAACATAAAACGAAAAAAAAAAAAAACATTCAACACTAGCCAAATATTCATTTCTCATAAAATGAATCTAGAAAATACTTTGTTGGCTGTGTTGATGAAAACATCGAATCAAGTTTCCTGAGGTTACTGACCATTTTAGCACAGCTCAATATTCAGTCAAAATAATCTAGAATATTGTAATAAAATCGGGCAAAAACTAGATGAAATTTAGTAATTGTATGAAAATTAAGAATTATAAATATCATTATTTGATCATATTTAGGCTCATTAGCATCTAAAAAGTTACATTAGAATGTTAGATACAATCTATTTCGCATATCGTTTTGAAAATTAGCTCATCAAAATGATATTTTGTATGAGAATTAGAGCTCAGTCTAGATATGTTTAAGAAGATATAACATTAAGGTTTTTTAAGAATAACAAGGTGATAAACAGGGAGGTTCTCAAAAATTTTAAATGTAGAATTATTTTTGGTTTATTGTTCTAATAGACATTAACTTATCACAAACTGATAAGCTTCAGTAACACACGAATTATTCCAAGCATATCTCATCACATTATAACCATGTGTATGAATTTTAAGGTATCAGTTTCATATAAATGGTGTACAAAAACGTGAATTCATTCACTGCAGGCGGAGGATTAAGTTATCGAATATAGGCAGTTGTTCTAGCATTAATTTTGCTAAACGAATTTTAATCACTTGATAATAAAAATGCGATGCACTTGAAAACTAGCCAACTTTTCCAGCATAATTCGTTCTATATTACGTTGCATTCATTTTATTCAAGTAATTGCACTCAAAAGCTTTTCATATCATTGATTTTTACGTCCAATAAATCATCACCGATATAAAACTACAATTTTCTTCATTCACAAGAATCCATTATGCAACCTACATTATGAAACCAATTTTCATATCTAATAAACATCAATAGTTCTCTTCTACTAGATTCAAATCCAGTATAGTACCCAATAGTCATGTGCAAGTGACAACAAAGTAAAAATCAATAAAAGTAAACGACGACAAAGAAACCAAACTACAAACTTGTGTAACATGAGCATAAAAACATTCTTATTCCAGAGAAATAAGTTGTTACAATGAAAATTTCTTAAATGCCATTTTTTATCACAAGTGTTAAGCACTTACAAATAGTTAAGCAATAAAAAAAGTTTCAATGGAACGACTTTACAAAGTATCGTAATCAAAGCATTCAGTGAAGGCGTTTATTACTTTATCATGCATCGATGTAATATCTAATGGATAAAATTTAATTTCAAAATCAATCTACAGTAAATTTTTTTCCTGATCTTATCAGTTTTTATATTTATTTCTTTATGGTAAAATCTGTATCAATAATGCATGATGTTGTGCTTCATTGTGTGATTCATTTGGAAATTCCATCAGTCAATGGGGTTGCTTCATGAGTTTTGAGGGGATTAAGAGTAATAAGGTACTAATGCGCATTTCGACATCGTAGAAAATTTCAAATTAAAGTAGGAAAAACTTACAGACCAGCAAAACATTCAGTCACTCCATTTTCCCATCAAACCACCGCAAAAAGAATCAAAATCAATAAAACATAGCAAATAAATCATGTTGTAATATGAAAAAAAGAGTGTAGAAATAAATTAAAATCATTGTTGTTAGCAAAAGCATTGTTATTCATGATGCGGAAATTTCCGATGCACGTTTATGGATTAAAATTTTCCTTGCTGAGCTTTTGCAAATGATTTTTTATTTTAATTTCCTTCTTCTTATTTTTGTTATCGCTATTTTTGCAATCCAATTAAAATATGAATTTAAATAGATATTATCGTATTCAGCTCATTTTATTGTGATTTTGAGAATTGCTAAGCTCGTGTCATAACTGCTTATCACGGGACTTAGGCTGGGGTGGTTTTAGTGAAGATTTCAAAATTTTCAAATATTTGCATGCATTTGAAATTCCTTAGATCCCCCACAATCTTATTCATATTACTATATCACACCACCTCGATGAAATCAACAAGCATGAAACGTGAGATTTTACTTATTTTTCAACGCCTGTTTCAAATATTAAGTTACACTGTGTTCTACTATTACAATACAAATTGCTCCTTATATTTACAATTGGAATGTTCACATTGTACGGAATTTAATATGCAATAGAATTACACGTAATTGTTTTTCAGCATGCATCATTATCACGTACTTACAAATTATATAATTGGTGACATTTAAATTCTCATAAATTGCACGATATTAATCAAGCTCATTGGTATGGTCGCACTTTTAGGAACTGCTCATTTAATTTATTCTCATTCTAAAATATAATTTTCCTAGAACATGAGTGAACAATGACTCAATTTATGTGGAAAATTGCTTTATTTATAAATCGAGGACAGGAAAATTGTTGTATGAAAGCTTATTGTTGTGTTATGAAGAGCTTTTTATATGCCACTAAGGACATTGGGATAGTTAAAAAATTAAGTTGATTAAAAAAATTGATTGTTCTAGAATTTTGGTGTTTTAAAATGTAAATTTTTAAAAGTTCCACACATATTCAATTTTATTGGTGCTTTTTTAAAAACTAGATCGCTTCTTCATTCTTCCAATGCATAGACCATCTCCTCCTTCTTCCCATTCATTCGAAACATCATGAATGAGCAACGCCTTATCATTAATTTACACACATATTGAAAATTATTCACTCATATGGCTCATAATGCCGAGATAATCCTGCATTTACTCTACACATTTATTAATTTTCTTCTTATGCATGCTTAACATTTTCAGTTTATATAGCTGCTTATGAGATTTTATAAGCGATTTTCCTCGTAATGATATGCTTTTGTATGGGCGGTTAAAAGCTATTATTAGTGCATAAAAAAACTCTTGATCTGCTTACTAATAATTCGCAAATTACACCCTCGATTCATCCTTTATTTCTCAATCATTTGTTACGACACTCCTAAACACTTAATCAAAATTCAAAGAAGTGCCACTTGACATTATCGCTAAGCACTTGACAGCTTTTACAAGGGTGTGATAAGAAGAACTGAACTTGATTAATTTAATTGAGTAAAAATTCTTCATAATCCGTACTCTGTTTATCCATCGGAAATTAAAACAAATACATTCAATGATTTCCTCTTGAGTAGAAATAAATCGATAAAAAAAGAACATTGAGTAGAATATTGTTTTGATTATAGTACGTACAAGGTGATTATCATGTATATCAGAAGGATTGTGTGATAACAATTAATGATACAATGATGAAAGTGCCAGAACATTTATCGCAAACAGATGTTTAACATTTCCTAGTTGTGAACAATTTATTGGAGTCAAAATGAGTAAGAAATTTTAAATTTTTATACAGCTAGTATATATCAGCAAAGCCTTTTATCAAACGATTACCTGTGTTTTTTAAAGAACTATGGCTTCTGAAACCCCATTTTTAATCACTGTCACAAATTTTCCATAACTTTTTGTGGCTCACTAGCTGCAATTTAATATTACTGCAGCCAACAAATGCACACAATAAATCTCCGATAACCCAAAAGCTTGTGTTACATTTTATTTGATATTGCTAAACTTTCAGCTAGATAACAATAATTCTGATAAGTCTAATTTGCATTTTTATGGTTGACATGAGTTTTTGTATAACATTGAAGCTCTGTGGCGCTTCTTTTGTGTCATTGAAGTTCCCATTTTCATGCTAATCAAATAATTTTCAGTATTTTATAGAACTGAGAATCTAA